ATACCATGGACCTCCAAGAAAACAAACAGATGTGTCTTGGAGAGGGTGAAACCAAATTTCTCCTCAGAGGTAGGATTTTGAAGCTCTTTCTCACATATTTTGAGCAAATGGCCAGGAGGGATTGGTGATTGGAAAAGGACATCATGCTTGGAAGGATAGAAGGACAGCGCAGGAAAGGAACCCAGATGAGATAGATTGATACATAACTGAAGCAATGGAGTTGGGTGTGTCAGAGTCAGTGAGACTGACTCAGGACAGGGCAGGCTTCAGAGCTGTTGCACATAGGGGTGCTATGAATCACAAGCAATTCAATGGCACATAACAACAATTCTCAAGAACAGAGTTGAAGAATGGAAACTAATGACCAAAGATCACACAAGTTGTGTGATAACACCAAAGACATTATTCACAAAGACAGCAAAAGGTCATTACAAACATAGGAGAGAAAGACCAAAACAGATGACAGAAGAGACAATGAAACTTGCACTGAAATGAAAAGAAGCCCAGTTCAATGAAGGATTTCAAAGGGAAGCTTTAGAAAACAAAGTAAAATATTATAATGAAATGAACACAGAACTGGAGTTAGAAAATTAAAAAAATGAAGAACACACTCAAAAGAAATAACTGAAGAATAAATTCAAGCCTTGAGTTGTAATACTGAGGGATGCTATGGGCAAATTATTGACTGATGCAGGAAACACAAAATGAAGACAGAAGGAATAGAGAGTTAATGCACCAAAAAGAATTTGCCAACACTGAACTATTTCAGAAGATAGCATATGAAGAAGAACCAATAGTACTGAAGGAAGAAGTACAGTCCGCACAGAAGGCATTGAATACCAATTGGAAGCGTGTAAAAAAACTGATGCAACTCTGGATGTTATCACCCACAAGTCTCTGTCAACAAATTTAGAAGCCATCTGGTCTTTGTTTGCACTAATCAAACACAAACAAAAAAAGGTGATTCAACAATGTGTGGAAATTATAAAACAATATCATTAATATCACATGCAAGTACATTTTTATTGAAAAAGAGTGCGACTAGTATTTTGACAGTGAACTTTCAGAAATTTAGGCTGGATTCAGAAGAGTTTGTGGCATGAGGGATGTCATTGCTGATGCCAGTTGGATCTTGGCTGGGAGCAAAGAATACCAGAAAGATGTTAGTGGTGTTTTCTGAGCTAGCTCTTGAGGCTTACTAGTAAGGAGTTGTGCTGCCAATGCAAAGGTAGGAGGTTCAAATTTACCAGCTACTCTGTGAGAAAATGATGAGAAATATCTCCCAAGGCTATTTACTGCCTCTGAAAACCTGCAGAGGGTCAGCTATGAGTGAACTAGACAGTACACCACAACAATAACAATTGACTATGCAAAGGCATTTGACTGTGTAGATCATAACAAATTATGGATAGCACTGAGATTAATGGTAATCCCAGAGCACTTAATTGTGCTCATGCAAAACCCATTCACAGACCAAGAAAGTATTTTCTGAACAGAACAAAGGAACACTGCATGGTTAAAATCAAGAAAAGTGTATACTGGTAGTATCCATTCTCCACACCTATTCAATCTGGATGTTGAGAAAATAATTCAAGAAGCTGGACCATATGGAAAAGACTGTATCATTAGGATTGGATGAAGCCATACCAACAACCTGCATTATTGCAGATGATACAACTTTGCTTATAAAAGCAAAAATAACTTGAAGCACTTATTGCAGAAGATCAGACTACAGCCTTCAATATGAATTATACTTCAACATTAAGAAAGCAAAAATCCATCACTGGGCTAATAGACAACATCACGATGTTGTTATGTGCTGTTAATTGGTATACCACCAATTCCTGGGGCCACATCATGATAGATGGAGAAAATATCTGAAGTGGTCAACAATCACATTTTACTTGTATCTACAATCAATACCCACAGTAGCAGCAGTCAAGAAATAAAAAGATATGCTGCATGAGAAAATCTGCTATCAAGGATCTTGTCAAGGTATGAAAGAGCAATAATGTCAGTTTAAAGACTATATTGTACTTGTTATTTTTAATTGTTGCCTATGCATCTGAAGGTTGAACAATGAGTAGGGAAGACTGAAGAAAAATATGTCTTTAAATTGGAGAGTTAGAGAAAAATATTGAATATTCCATATGCCAAAAGAACAAAGAAATTATTTTGAAGGAAGCACAGCTAGAGTACTTCTTAGAGGCAAGAATGGCAAAATTTAGTCTTATGTACTAGGTGCATTGTCAAGAGAGGGGCCAGGCCTTGGAAAAAGATATCATGGTAGGAGAGGTAAAGGGTTAGAGAAAGAGGGGAAGATCATTAAAGAGATGGATTAAAAGAGTAGATTTGAATATAACAGAGATTGTGAGCAGAGTGCAGGACGGGTTATGGTTTGTATCTATTGTTCAGAGGGTATCTATGAGTTGTCTTTTACTGAAAAACACTTAAATGCACACTTAACATGCTAGTATGGGTCCCCACAGTAATGCAGAAGTACAGTTTTGCAATTCATTTTTTTTAATGGTACTCTTCTCTGTCAGTCTGTAAGTGCTTTGGGATCAGAGGTGGTGTTTGTCCATGTATATTCTCATCTGTAATAAAGGGTTAAAACAAGGGCCTGTCTCTCAAATGCTAATTAAGAAAGAAATCAGTTTAAGGTGAGTACTTAGAGGACACAGCCTGGCATATGAAAGGAGTATGTAAGCTTTGGCAACAATGACAATAACTAGCACAGGGCCTAGAAAGTATATGTTTGGAAGCATACATTAAATGAATGAAAGAATTAATAAATAGATGAATGATCTAATGGATTCATCAATGGTGAGGGCTTTTTCCATCTAAATCATCGCTATTGATCATAAAGCATAGATCTGTATGCAGAACAATCACAAAGAGGCACCACGGTTTTTCACTATCTAGTGCTACAACAACAACAACAAGAGTGCCTTCTTGATAAATGGAGAAAATAGTACTTTTGGTTTCTGAAGATTTTTAATCCATACTATTGTAATGCTGAATAAATATTCAAAGACATTTAGAATAAGAGATACAGGATACAATATCAAAAAACACATTTCTACCCTTCTCAATTTTGTCTGGACTAAAATTTTTTAAAATCCTTAATGAGCATGATATACTTATAGTTTCCCAATTGAAATCCTTGAAAAAACCATGTACATCAGGCATCCACTATAATAGCCATTTATAACAAAGAGAATTTTAACCCAGATTGTCAGAAAGGGAAGCTCTTCATTCCTTTGTTCTGGAACTTCCATACGTCTTTCTGGCCTGACAGAAAGAAACATGCACAAATGCACTTCTAGTGCCATTCTGTACTGTAGGTTCTGACACACTTATCAGTAGCTAGAGATGGGGAAGGTGCTTCTGCTTTTCTGTCAAATTCTATTTGTTAACAAAATTTTGTTAATTTATCATTCTGTAAAACAGTGACAATATTTTCTAAATGACTTTGCTGTAAATGGTTCATTTGAATTTATAAATAACCACTGCATCATCACAATGGAAAATCAGCTTATTTTGTCCCTTCTATAATAAGAGAAATATAGAGAGCTCTGGTGGCTGAGTGGTAAGAAGCTGCACAGCAACTTCTAAAGCATGTGGTTCAAACACACCAGCTGCTCCACAGGTGAAAGATGGGAAATCTCCTCCCATGCAATTAATTGCCTTGGAAAACTCACTGGAGGGTGAGCTGTGGGTCCATTCCAACTTTATGATATACAACAACATAGCAAGACAAGATCCCCATCCAAAGACAACTTTCATACTATCCCCCTGGACTTAGCTATTTCTTCCTTTGAGCTTTGTCAAAAGTCATAAACTGTTCTAAGTCTCATTGGTATTCTCTTAAGTGAAGTCACCAACTTGGAAAACTGATACTTAATGGAAGAAATCCTGGTGGCTAAGTTTTAAATACTTAGCCGTTAATTCAAAGGTTAGTAGTTTGAACTCACAACCCACTACATGGGAGGAAGATGTAGCAGTCTGCTTCTATAAAGATAGCAGCCTTGGAAATCTAATTTGGTCACTACAAGTTGGAATTATGTTGGCAGCGGCATCATTGCTGTTTTGTTTGGGATTATTATTTTTTTTTTTAAATTTCCAAGTTCTTCATTCATTTAAAGAGATGAGATCCTCACCCCACTGCCCTTGAGGTGATTCTGACTTAAAGAAATCCTACAGAACAGAGTACAAATGCCCCCTGGGATTTCGGAGTTTGTAGGCATAGCTTCATCTATCTCCCTCAGAGCAAGCTTGACCCTCCAACCTTTCAGTTAGCAGAAAAATACTAACTCATCACCTACCAGAGCTCCTAAAAGATGTGATGTTGTTGTTGTTATGTGCCATCGAGTCGTTTCCGACTCATAGCAACCCTATGCACAACAGCTCTAAACCCTGCCCTATCCTGCGCCAACCGCACCCCCTCTGACACACCCATCCCGATTACCCCAGTCACCGAATCAATCCATCTCATAGAGGGTCTTCCCCTCCTGCGCTGTCCCTCCACCCTCCCAAGCATGATGTCCCTCTCAGGGACCCGTCCCTCCTGGCAACATGTCCAAAGTATGTCAGACGAAGCCCCAGAATCCTTGCCTCCAAGGAGCAGCTTGGTTTAATCCTCTCCAAGATGGATCTGTTTGTTTTCCTGGCAGTCCATGGTACATTCAGTACCCTTCTCCAGCACCACAGCTCGAAAGCATCCACTCTCCTTCTGTCCTCCCTAGTCATTGTCCAACTCTCTGATGCATAACAAGCGATTGCAAATACCATGACCTGTATCAGGCGCACCTTAGTCTCCAGAGAGACACTGTTGCTCCTGAGTACATTTGAGAGGTCCCTAACGGCAGACTTTCCCATCGCGATACGCTTTTTGATTTCCTGTGATAGTTAAGCAAAATATTTCTAAGAACCATCAAAGACATGACACTGAAATCTATTGCTACCAAAGATGAATACTGGAAATTTAGTGAACTGACCTGCTTTTTTGTGGAGCAAACTGGGTCTGTGGTGTGCAGTGCTGGCATCCTGGGCCTGCCTGGGAGCTGAAGATGACAATGTCTTCTGATTTTCTTCCGGGTTCCCAGGTGGTAAGGGAGAGCTCTGTGAGTGTCTAATGACACTTCTGTCTGTTTTACATAAGTGAAGCGCTTCTTGTGATTTCTTCTTTTCTTTTTTTAACATATTGACCAAAATATCTGAAATTGACTTAAGGATTCACTGGCTCACACTGGATGTTAATGATAAAAACATCAATGCTCCAAATGAAATGAATATTCCAAGTAAGGTTTTCTATTTGAAAAGTGGGGAAGACTGATTAAAGAAAGATATCAACTCCTCAAAGTCATATTTACAATTAGGGAAAACAGTAGGAGTCTAGTCTTGCAATGTAGGACCTTTCTGTGAAAAATTAGCATACACACAAGCCTTCATAATGTTGTGAATTTAATTAAGTCTTAGAAAAAGTATGAAAAGGTTTCTAAAAAGTAAAATGAAAAATAAATACTGAGTAGTTCATACAAGGCAGTGAGGTTATCTACCTGTCAGTAAAGAAGTCTTTTAATCTGGGGAAGAATGCTCTTAGCTGAGGACATGGCTGGGCAGGAGGTGCCAGGAGGGTGGAGAGGGAGATTGGTGAAATTCACCCAGACAAACCATGTTCTCTGACTTATATTTGACAAAGACTAGGCTTTCCATTTTCCTTCCATCCTCTGACTTCTCTTCCTTCCCATTGTCATTCACTGAGGACCTTATGTATGCCAAGTCCTGGTGTGGCTGGCACCCTGTTCCATGTTTGATAATGGACTGAACTTAATTCAAAGCCACAATGGCAACAACACCTTTCTCAACCTATTTTCAAGAAGTTTTAACATGACCCACTGTCATTTTGGTTGCACTGTTATCTTCGGTTGAGCTCAAACATTATCATTTTGTTCCTTCTAGAAGCTGTATCAACTCAGTCCTCTGGTCACCTGGGTTCTGAAAGAAAGACATGAAAAATACCCTCTCACCAGACTCTTAGGAACGATAGCATTTCAGGGGTCTTTCCTGGTTAACTGGGAGCTATCTGCAGGGAGTTGTGCTGCTAAGACAGAGGCCATGCTTCTCTGGCAGTCTGAACCTACCAGCCTCTCTAAGGGAAAAAGGCAATCTCCTCCCAAGCAATTTACAACCTTGGACACTTTCTGGAAGGTCAGCTACAAGTCAGATCTGACTTGATGACAACACGTCGGATGAGTTTCTTGATCATTTGCTCTTGGTAAGTGTAAACTTTGAGATGATTAAGTCTCAACTCCTATTTTTCTTTATTCTGAATTTACTAATTGTCTCCACAATCACATCTTCCTTTATGTAACATTCTGTGGTGATTAAAGAATTTTCCAATACACTATCTTATTGGCCTTGCTCAGCACTGTGAGGTTGGTAGGGTGGGGGCATTATGCTCCTGAAGAGCAGGAAATAATTTCACTTATGTTATTACAGAGCAAATGCATGAAGAGCTAGGATTTCAATCATTTTTTAAAACTTTAAGTTCAGTACTCTTTGCACCATTCCTATCTACACACTATAACATTGAATACGAGTCTCAGGGCGGGGGTGGGGCGGCGGATTGTGTTTGGATGATTCAGTCAGTAGAGAATCTTGCAGAGCCTCACATGATAGGGGTGCCTGGGAATGACTTCAATGAACGAACAAGGGAGGGGGTGTATCTCTTTTAAAAATAAACATGTATGAACAAGCCTGAGCTAGTCTTCCTCTATCATATCTCATTTCATCCACCCCTCCACCCCCAAAATGCACAGACATTCATAAGTTTAGAAGGGGATTAAGAAGTTGATAGGAGCATTTAGGGGAAGAGATTCTAGACCAGGATAGAGCCAGGAAAAGAAGCAGAGCTCAGAATGAGCTGGGGCCAGACTGAGGTCCACACTGGGATCATCCCTGGAGGTGGATAAGAGAGGGGAGAAGGAATGCATGAGCAACAATGCTTGTAGGCGGCACTGTAGATGAGGGTTGTGTGGGAGTGCAATTCACAGTTCAACCCTCTGTTCCTGGTCCCAGATAATAGAATAGCTACAATTCATGTGACTTAGACTACAGGGTCTGCTGATACTCAACTATAATTGGAGACTGAAGTTAATCAGGCAGCATGCCCACCTTGCATTAGGATTGCTTCAATCTGTTTATTACTGGTTTTCTTTCATGTAGGTTATTTTTATGCATTTTGTACAATAGCTAACACTAAGATACCTTTCAGCATTAAAAAAAAAAGAAATAAGAAATATCTGTTTAAAATGAAGTAACCAAAAGAATTTCTTGTGTGTGTTTAAAGTCTGCAAATATAATGACAACATCAAATATTTTACAAGAAGCTGAAAAACAACAATTAAGAAGTATCAGGATGTCCTGAGGTCTAAGCAACCTAACAGGGCCCTTAAAAAGTAACCACCTCTTTGGAAGAAATTAGAAGCTAGCAAGAATGTCCATGTGCTGCTACCCTTTTCAGCACCCAAAATATACTGCCCCCTGGAGCAAAAAAGAATTCTATCTCAAAGACTCCTCTATACTCATTTCCAAATTTAGGAGCATTTATAAGTGGAACCCAAAGCCATGGAACTGGCTTTTATATAAAAAGTTACAATGAAATAAATCTCTGCTCTTCTTAAGTTAAATACCATTTGCCATTTTTCCGCCATCATTTGAGCTTCAGCCACACATCGGCCACAAATTCTGGGCCACAGTGAGGCAGCGGTAAGCCCAGTGTCCAGTCAGCTAGCTAAAGATAACCACCTTTCTAGTAAAGAGTTCACTTAGCCATGGCCTCAGGACTCACTCAAAAAGAGCACTGTGGAGCAGTCAAAAATATATTTTTAAAAAACATCTAATGTTAAGATAAGGTGTTTTAAAAAGTCCACACTTTTCAATAAACTGAAATGATATATGGCTAAAATCCAAGTAAAGTGTTTTGGGGTTTTTGGGTTTTTTTTTTTCTAGCAATGACTATTTCTTCTCTGGCCATTGCATTTTGCTTGCAGAAGAGATGTTTTTACTTCTAAAAGGAAAGACATCATGTGAATTGGAACAGGGCAGGGGGCTTGATGAGGTTGCTGAGGGAAGAGCCCAGGTGTATCTATTCATTCCCCTTTCAAGCTGGTAGAGGAAGGACTTCTTGTCCTTTTAGAAAGGATACTGATTTCATTATCTCTCTGCTTTAGAATATCTTGCAGTTTTTTATATTCTTCCTCTTTTAATGGTTCTTGGTAGTCTTGGACTTGGTCTTGAATTTTAGAAGGATTCTTCTCAAGGATTTTCCTGTCATTCAACATTTTCTGTAAGATGAAAGAAGAGCTTATTGTCTATAACTTTATTCCAAAATTTCCTAGTTTTCATGACTCAGGAAACAATTCCTTTAATAATTCTCTGCACACACGAGGCCTATCTGTTCATTCTTGCCTCCTATTTTTTTTCACTGCTAGTGTGTTCACCTGGTATTTTTCTCTCATTCTCCCTATTCTCTTCCTCCTGCCCCCCTGTCTTTTTCCTATCTCATTTCTCTATTACTACCTGGGAAATTTTTATTCAAATAATATTTCTTTTCATACCATTCCCAGTACAATTCTTTTTTTCTAAGACACTGTACCACTTGATTCACATTTTCATTACATCATTTATCAGAATTGAATTTATTCCTTGTATCTCTGTCTTCTCTATGACTTAACATATTCAACTGCTCCTTCCCTAATCCCGGACTATCGCAGACTCACAGCAAATGCTTATTACCTAAATGAAGCATCTAATTTACAAATGTGATAGACGCAGAGCTTAGTTAAAGTCGGTTTAATTATTTTAGTTTATAAAATGGCTGTAGACATGGAACTATGTTGTACAGGCAGAGATTCTGGGGATGAAATCTATGATCAGTGCTTATTTATTGGCAAATAAGATACCATTTCTGAGGAAACAGAAATCCTACTTTACATGTCCAGGATGGTGTGATATTTAGACAAGACAATGAAAAAAATTAAAAGGCTTGGAAACTTGGAAATATTTAAATTTACCTTTAAGTGATGAAAACAGTGGTGAATTTTACGCATATCAGCACCAACCTCTAGTCTGCTCTCTGGATCTTGGTCTTCCAAAAAGTTTGTTATTAGTTTTTCCAGCCTAAAAATACATAATGCATGAGAAACAACTATGAGCTGGAAACCTTAGACATTCTCGTGGCATTACCTAATTTGTTAACATTTAAAATACAGGATATTGTTTCCCCTTCTTGATGGAAATATAGTTATCTGACTTGAATGAAAAATTTTTTTAAAAAAGGAATTGGTTGACAAAGTAAAATCTGTAGATAATGTTGCCATTATTTGACAAATTTCTAACTATTTCATAATCATTTTTCAATATAAGAGTCATGTGATTGCTACAAGACTTGCGTTCTAGCCAAGCTGGATTTCTATGCTTCTGTACCTGGCTGCCACATTGCTAGAGAAAGTAATGAAAAAATATTTTATTAGTTCCATTAAAAATTCATGCTACTCAGCCCCAGCCAGAACCTCAATGATGCACCACAACCCTTTTAATCATTTCTGGTTGATTTATATTCCTCCCAGAGTGTATTTCAAATCTTTCCACAACCTCCAATTCTCTTTTCCCTTTTGGTCAAATGAGTAAGTTCTCGCTAGACTGTAAAAGTCAGAGATGTTACAAGCAGGGTCCTAACCCAAAGGCTACACCTTTCTGGTAATTAGAATCCACCAGTAGGATTTCTAGTAGCCTCATGGTAAGGATTTGTGCTGCCAACCCAAAGGCATATGGTTCAAATTCGCCAGCTGTGTTTTGAGAGAAAGATGGACAATCTCCTCCTGTGTGATTTACAGCCTCTGAAAGCCTGCTGAAGTGTCAGCTATGAGTCAGTTCTGACTCAGTGGTCACAACAACTACAGTAGTTCTGAGAGGGAAAGAGTGGCAATTTCCTCCAGTAAACCCAGTGTTATTTACAGCTTTGGAGGACTCAATAGTAATGAATTTGTTTAAGGGAGCTCTGGTGGCCTGGTTTGTAAGGAATTACCCTGTTAGCCCATAGACCATGCCTCTATGGTAATTCAAACCTACACTAGAGGAGAAATATAGGCAATCTCTAATTTACATCAAAGCTAGCTATGAGTCACTTCTGAGTTGATGTAAATGAATGAATCAGAGTCTCTACTTCGCCATGTAGGTCCTCCATCTCAAGGCCAAACTCTCCTCCTTGGACTTCTCTTGCTTCTTCTACACCTTATCTGAGTAATTATCTCCTTTCTCTTCCCTCTTTGCTTATACTGATTTTCATGTTTTTCATATGGTACACTCATTCACATGATAGAATACTGCAAAGCAGGAGCAATGATTTTGTAAATCACTACCTAATTTGAAAGGAAATGAAGAGCAACATTCTCGTGCATGAAGATCCAAGGTGGGGAGGGTTAGATCATGGAAGCAGAGGAGTGAAGATGGGTGAGGGAGTAGGATGTTAATCACAGGGTCACAAAATTTTATGGGTGGAGAGAGGGGTTGTTGTTGTTGTTGTTGCGACTCATAGCGACCCTATGTACAAGAGCCCTAAACGCCGTTCTATCCTGTGCCAACCTCGCCTTCTCAAACACACTCATTCCCACCACTCCACTCACAGAATTGATCCATCTCATCGAGGGTCTTCCTCTCCTGCGCCATCCCTCCACTCTCCCAAACATGATGTCCCTCTCCAAGGACCAGTCCCTCCTTGCAACATGCCCAAAGTATGTCAGACGAAGCTTCAGAATCCTTGACTCCAAGGAGCATTCTGGCTTCACCCTCTGCAGGACAAACCTGTTTGTTCTCCTAGCAGTCCATGGTATGTTCAACACTCTTCTCCAGCACCACAGCTCAAAGGCATCAATTCTCTTTCTATCATCCCTATTCACTGTCCAACTCTCTGATGCATAGCACGTAATTGCAAAGACTATAGCCTGGATTAGGTGCACCTTAGCCTCCAGCCTGACATTGTTGCTCTTCAGTACTCTTGAGAGGCTGACTTTTCCAAAGCAATTTGTCTCCTGATTTCCTGGCTGCTGTTGCCAAGAGTGTTGACTGTAGTACCAAGTAAACTAAAACTGTTAACAATCTCAATCTCTTTACCTTCCATGCGGATGCTGCCAAATGGCCCAGTGGTGAGGCCTTAGAAAACCCTATATACAATGGAGAGAGGGATAGGTAAAGGAAATGGGAAAGATCCAGTTTGAAAAACAAATTATGGCTAACATTGAGAAGAATGGGAATCTCAGAACACTTAGTTGTGTTCATGAAAAACTTTGTAAGTAAACTAGTATAAAATTTAAAAAAACCCCATTTATTTAAAAAACTAAAACAAAACCCAGAATATCTCTCTTTAAAGGAACCATTAAATTTTCTCTAAAGTTGAAGCTTAGTTTGTAGTTTCATATGGAATGTTATGGGCAAAATCTTGAATGGTTCAGGAATTGTCAAAATAAGATGGAAGGAATAATACCATAGAGTCACTGAACCAAAGAATTGGTTGACAAAGAACCATTTCAGGAAGTAGTAGTATATGATTAAGAACCAATAGTAATAAGAGAAGAAGGTCAATGTGCACTTAAGATATTGGCAGAAAAAATAAGGTCCCTGGGGCTGATGGAATATAAATTAATGTTTCAATAAACAGATGCCGCCTTGAACTTGCCCATTAGGCTGTGCTAAGAAATCTGGAAAACAGTTTCCTGACCAAATAAGTGAAAGCGATCTATATTTCTTTCAAGTCTAAAAATAAAAGTGATCCAACAGAACTAGGAAATTATTAAACAATATCATTAATATCACATACAGGCAAAATCTTGCTGAATATTATATAAAAATGGCTAGAACAGTACATTGAAAAAGAACTGCTAGAAATTCAAGCTGGATTTAAAAGAGGCCATGGCGCAAGGGATATTACTGCAGATATCAGACAGGTCTTGGCTGAAATCAGAGAATACCATAAGGATATCTATTTGTGTTTTTTTTTTTACTATGGATAGACATTTTATTGTGTGGATCAAAACAAATTCTGGCTAACATTGAGAAGAATGGGAATCTCAGAACACTTAGCTGTGTTCATGAAAATCCTATACCTACACCAAGAAGCTCTGTCTGAGCATCAGAGCTGTATCCCTTCTCCATACCTATTCAACCTGTCAGCTGACCAAATCGACTGAGAACAAGGTGGACTGACCAGTGACTGTCACAATAGGCTCATGTATATCAGGGTTAGGATGGTACAAGAAAGCAGATCACAGATCAGTGATAGGGTCACTATGATTTATAGGTCATCTAACCACATGTTGTATTCTAGAATTTGTGTACAAAATTTAGTTCACTCTTTTTTTTTCATTATCTTGAAGCTATTATTGACCCTTATTCATTTTGATGTTTCCCCTCCATTTCCCTATGTCTAAGAGAATGCATATATTAGGTTCTTAATACAAATATAGCCATTAATTAAGAGTTCATTTCCACAGAAATTGAGATGGATCAATAATAAAGGCCTAGGCCGGAGGCTGCGCCAAGATCGTTCGCGGCCAGCGCAAAGGGGAGACAAAGGGATCCACGCAGGCAGAACGGGGGAGACAGGAATCAGCGTGGGCAGAACCAGGGGCCAAACAATAGAGAAGGGACTCACGGGGGGGGGGGGGGGGGGGGGGGGGGTGCGGGTGGGGTTAAGTCTTACCACGCCCACAGGTACAAAAGGCCTGAGGCTGCACCAAGATCATTCAGGCCCTTGGGCAAGAAGAAAAAAAAATACAATCTATACACCAGTTCTAACATATTTTGGACATGTTATCTAACATACTTTGGACATGTTGTAAGGAGAGACCGGTCCTTGGAGAAAGACATCATACTTGGGAAGGTGGAGAGACAGCAAGAGGGGAAGGCCCTCTATGAGGTGGATTGATTCAGTGACTGGGATAATTGGGATGGGAGTGTCAGAGACAGTGCGATTGGGACAGGACAGAGCAGAGTTTAGGGCTGTTGTACGTAGGGTCGCTATGAGTCGCAAGCTACTCGATAGCACATAACAACAACAACATACACCAGTTCTACAGAACACATCAATCTCGCTTCGGAGGCATTACCACTAAACTTTAGAGACACTGTTCGCAACATCAGCAGATGACGTATTTGGAATCACAGAAGCCAAGAAAACTTCAGATTAAGGATTGGACAGTGTAAGATAAATGCTGAAGGGATTCAGTAGAAGTGAAGGGGTATCCTGGTGGAGGGTGGAGGTGGGAAATAAATGGGTCAACACACTGGGCCAAGGGCAGGGACAACACTGTAACTAATGGTTAACTCCACAATGAGGGATTTATTATTCGCTGTTCTATAAATTGCTTGTCTGTGAGATACTCCTCTAAATCTGAACATTCAGGTTGAGAAAGACTAGGAAGAAGGACTGGCCATCCACTCTGAAATGGCAGGCCTCTGAAAACCCTACGTACAATAGAACAGACTAAGAGAGAGGGCAACGAGGTAGAACTTTCAAGTATGGAAATACAAAGGAAGAGGAACAGTTATAAGCAGACACTAGTGATTGGAACATGGAATGTGAGAACCAAGAATGTAGGAAAATTAGACATTGTTAAGAAAGAAATGGAACACACAAATATTGACATACTAGGCATTGGTGACATGAGATGGACTGGCACAGGGCATTTTGAGTTGGATGAGCATATGATTTATTACTTTGGAGATGAAAGGCGAGGAAAAATGGAGTTGCTTTCATAGTTAAAAAAGTAATTTCTAGATCCCTCTTGAAGTACAACATTGTGAGTGACAGAGTAATATCCATAAGCTTACAAGGAAGTGCTGTGAATACCACTATCACTCAGATATATGCATCAACAACCAGAGCCAAAGAAGAAATAAATTATTTCTACCAACTTTTACAGTCGGAGATCGACCGAACATGCAATTAAGATGCTTTGGTAATAATGGGTGACTGAAATGGAAAAGTTGGGAACAGAGAAGAAGAATCAGTAGTTGGAAATGAAGCTGGAGATAGAATGATTGAATTTTGCCCAATCAATGACTTATGCATTGCAAATACGTTTTATAAGAAACATAAACGCAGGTTATACACATGGATTTCA